TATCTAATAACCAATGAATCATAATTCCATTAGTCTAGACTAATTCTAAAAATTAATCTGTTACATTAAGAAAATAATTTTTTTTTTTGGAAACGATAGAAGATAATAAATATTAAATAATATGTTTTATACTACACTTAAAAATAAAAAACAAGTAGTTATGTAATGGTAGTTATAAATTCAAATTTACAAAAATAAATAAATAAAACATTAATAAAAACTGATACTTGTTGACAAAAATGGAAAGAAAACTAAGACTACCGGTTCACATGCATACCTAGATCATCAAGCCAAACATTTATAGAAATTAACATACATGGTATTTAAATCAACTTCCACCCATTGCCGGGAATGATGGTGAATGCACGCGAGATTGCGAGAAGGCTCGACTCCTCTTAATCTACAATTTAGGGTTTAATTATTATTATTGGTTTTTATTCGGTTGATTAGGCTACACAACAAGTAAAGCAAATAAAGCAAGTAAAACGCATAAATTAAGACAACAAAGGCAGATAAGATAGATCAAATTAGGCCCGAAACAACACATTTCCAGTACAAATTAAACACATCATGTGGTTCAGCAATACTCAAAAGATAAATGCCAAACAAGTTATCATTTTTTAAAACTTATCTAATTCTTAAGAGGCAAGTAAAATAAAACCAAGGCTGACTCTTAACACTTCAATACTCAATTAAAAGACCTAAAGCTGCATCTAAAACTCTGAAAATCATTCAAAACAGCATGCTAAACACCACAACGGAGCTCATAAATTAAGGGAATAATAATAATATGGTACAAAAACCATGCATAACAAGCCTCAATTTCTATTCTCTTTTCTCAAGGCATTAACAATAATATAAAGCCTCAAAGTTACCCTTTAGACCTCTGAAAATAACAATATTTCAGCAAGGCAATGCATTAACATGGCTCAAGCAAACATCAAGGTAACACACGGCTAAAAACGATAGCACATGCCTCTCTTTTCTCATGTATCAAATAACACTTATTAAGGCCAATTAAAAACTGAAATCATGTTCTGAAACATACTCAATTTTAGCATATTAACGCATGACAAACTCACAAAAGTCACAACAAGGGCATCAATTCAACACATGATTTTCTATTCCTCATCTAATATAATCAAAGTTCAAGCATCACAACAAGGCCTCAGACTGAGTATAAGCACATCTACAACACATGAAAAATCGACACATATATAGCACATAATATACGCGAGGCCACAGCAACAAACAACAAGGCTCAACACCCCAATATTCATTCTCTCTTCAAATTTGCTAACACGTAAAATACAACTCAACTAAAAAGTTTCAAGCATTCTGCCTTGGCCAAAAAGAGGTAAAAAAAAGGGCCAGCCTTATTACCTTTTCCAGTGTTCACGAAATGGAGAAAAAGAGTGACGCGGGTTGGATACGAGGCTCTCGGGTCTGGGAAAATGGGCCCGTTTCGCTGCAGCAAGGTGGCCCTCGGCTGCTCCTCTGTTCCTCGCCGGAACCGGCTGATCCCGGTCAGTCAGAGGTCTGAGGTCTTGGTCGTTGCCGAAAGACGGGGTGAACAGGGCTGCCGTCGAGAGCTCGAATTCGCCCAATAATGGTTGGGGCTCATGAGCATCCACGTCCCGACGGAAATCGAGTGTTGGTGCTCGCACGCGGAGGTTCTCGAAGTCTCCGATGGTGCTGCCAACAGGGATATTCAAACGCGGACGGTGATCGGGGCTCGCGAGCAGATGCGGCCCGTCCGACGAAAATCGATGCCCGAAATCGCGGAAGGCCTGGCCACCGGAGGCTGGAGTTTCCCGTCAAATGGATGACGATGATCGAACTTGAACGGAGATGCTTGAGGACGACGGCGAAGGGCTCGGCAGTTCACGGTGGTCGCGATGGTTTTCGGGTGTCGCAAATCCGGCCTCGCGACGGCTCAGCAGCGATTTGTCGGGCTTGCAGGGGTTCGCCGGTGGTCTCGTCCTCCTGGGTGGTGGCTTCGGATCCGATTCGGCGGCGTGTTCTCCTCGTCGGTGGCTTGGACGATTTATATGCTGAAGGGATTCGGGGTTTAAACGAACAAAATTGCGAGACGAGAGATGAGAGAGGTTCTGGGTGAGGACGATGAAGCTGATCGATGGTGGCGATGGTGTTGTGCTCAAATCCGCATGCGTGAAATAGGTTTAAAGGCTGAAAAAACATATCTTTAACTCTTGGCCGAGACTCTCTTGTAATTGGGCCGAAAATAATTGGACATGAAAAATTGGCTAAAGCGGGTTCGAAATCAAATTAAATCGACTAAATTAATCTGAAATGGCCGAATTTAATTCAAACATGCCGAAATAATTAAGAAAAAATTACTCCCGAGACGTACAAATATTTTCATTTTGCCCTTTTAACGAGAATCAAAAAATCTTCGCAATTAACTTTTCTCTGGTCAGAAAATACGACATTAGTACACGTACAATTCCACTTAAGGAATCTGATTAATTAGTGCTAATTAAAGTGAATAAAACCGTATCTCAAGATTTTTCTTTCGAGATTCGGCTCTTCTCAAACACGTTTCCTGCCCACACTCATATCAAAAATTGCAGATCTCAATTGATGTCGATGCTCACCATTTTTCTTCATTCTTCCCTAATTTGTTCAAAGTAAAATCCAAAAATCAATTGTGCAGATGAATTAATGGCGAAAGTTGAGGATGAAAATTATGTCTCTGATACTTCATCTGGAGGTGAAGGAAATCTGGAGCAAAATCATCGGAAAGTTGAAGTTCAGCGCCGTCGGAGGCTTGTTCAAAAGAAAATTCAGTTTGGCAAGAAGAATGTGCAGACCAAAGGTGTTGGAGAACACTCGCATGTCAGATGTCCGATAACTCGTTCCAGTGCTCAGAAGAAGCGATTTTCTCAGAAGAATGCTATGGAGCGAAACGGAGATGCTAATGGGAAGAGGAAGGTTAAATATCCAGATGACATCGATTCTGATTTCGAAGTTGAACAATGTGTTCCTGTGGATGAAGAAGAAAGTGAGGATAGCTCTGAGGCTAACAAATCAGTACTGAGGAGGTCCAAGGGCAACACACATAGGCATAAATCGAGTTGTTCCGAGTTTGAAGATGAAGATGCCAGGAATAAACACCAAAGAGAACACAAGGTATTTTTTTCCTTTAGAAATATTTTTCCTAGTATCAGTGTTCATATAATTTATCTTTAATTTTGTCCAATTTTTTTTTAATTGATTTATTTGTTGATCCTCACAAAAATTGTTGCTATCTATGTTGACAAGCAAATAATCCCATTGTTGGTACTAATGTTCATGTCTGTATAAACTCGTTAGATCTATTCTATATGTTTTACTGCTATTGTTGGTATCAATTGTTTGTTGTTTTCATTAGGTTTGGGAATTGCTTTTTCCAAACTCAAGAGCATTGGTCGTGAAGATAATCAACAGCAATGATAACAGTCGTTCTACCACACCTATTGCTGACATTAAGCGTTTGTTATCCAACGATCAATTGGAGGTGTTTAGAAATTCTGCTTTTGGTAAATTTATAGACCTACCTCATTATAAGATTCAGAATCAACTTGTCAATTTGATTTCATTACGAGAAGTACACCAACCGAGGTTGGATGAAATGTGGTTTGACTTTGGTGGGAAGATCATGAGATTTGGGGTTGAGGAGTTCGCTGTGATAAGTGGTCTTAATTGTAATGGCTTATGTAAAAAGCTTTGTTATCCCCCCGTCCCTGATGGTCTTTTTGACAGATATTTCGCCAATGTTGGCTTGAACCGTCAATCTATTAAATGTCTATTTCTTAATAGAGCGTGGATAAATGACCATGATGGAGTGAAACTGGCCAAGCTTCACTTGCTCGCGAATTTTCTCATGGGTGCTCAGGATAATCTTTTGTTTGATAGGTGTTTCTTAGATATTCTTGATAGCCAAGATTGTGATAACTATCCGTGGGGTAAAGAGGTGTACGACTACACCCTTGATTATCTAAAGATGTCGTCTCGTAACAAGGAGTCTTTGCTTCAGAAATTAGATGCCACTGAAAAAAGAGTATATCTTTATAGGATACGTGGGTTTATTCTATCGCTTCAGGTGTGGTTTTATGAGGTGTGTGATAGCACAGATGGAGTCATATGTACCCGTCTTTCAGTTCCTAATGTGCCCCGGATGTTAAATTGGGAGGCACACATGAGATGTGGTAGACGACTCATCCAGAGGGTTTTCTTGACCTTGCCATCAGATAAGGTTTCTATTAGTTGCTTATTTTAATATTTTACTATTAAGTTATCTTTTCATAACATTGCTTTAAGTTCTTTTATTTTTTAATGTGTATTAATCCCTACAGTTCAAAAATATAACTCCCACCGAATCGGAGAAGACGATCCTTCAGCTGGACGGTTTTTTTGTCGAAAGGAACGAGTTCATCCGTAATGAATCTCAAAGTACTCCTACATTCTCTGTTCCCGGTGCAACTGAGTCTCCTTTTATAGGACGTTTAAACGAGTTGTCTTCAAACCAAGTGAAGATTATGAATGATTTGGATGATTTGAAGAAGTTGTTTACTGACTTTTCGACTAAAGTGATGCATGAGATACTCAGTCTTAAAGAAACAATGCTGGTAAGTTTATAATTGGTCTATTTTTGGTTTACTTTTACATATATATATACATGGAATACATGTGTTTCTTTTTTTAATATTTTCACTTAACTATGTATCAGCATGAAGAAAGTGGTAAACAACAAGATCTCCCCCATGATGTGGATAACCAAGATATTTCTCGAACGGTTTATGCTCAATCTACAATTTTTTCTTCTTAACATAACATATCTAAGTTAAATTTATTCTGTATCATCAGAGTTTTCGTAATTTATTTTTTATCTAAGTTAACTGTGTTTACTTTCTAAGGGATTAAATGATGGAGAAGGTGCTAAGCCCAACGATGTTCCAGAAAGTAGTCGTCATCAAGAAAACGTTGGGATCCACAAGGAAGTTGATGCTGAAGATGTAAGTGTAATTATTTGATTTTATTTCTATGATCACAACTAAGTCTACATTTAAAATCAGTAATCCTTTTTTTATTTTGGTTGATATGTTTCTCAGTTTGTACAAGGGAATGGTGAACATAATGTAGATTTCGATGTTGATGGTTTCCCTGTTTTGACCCCGCAAATGATGGATGAGATTGATAGGACGACCGAGGGAAAATTAAAAAGCATGCTAACTGCCAACAAAAATGTAATATGACTTTACTCTTGTGTATATAACTTCTATATTTACAACTGTTCATAAAAATATTTCAATATGGTGTTTTGTTGGTTTATATGTTGGTTATACTTTTACTCTTGTGTATATACTTTTTTGTGTGGTTTATATGTGGTTTATCTGTGATTTTTTGTTGGTTTATCTGCGGTTATACGTATATATATATCTGTGGTTTATCTGTGGTTTTTTGTTGGTTTATCTGTAGTTATACTTATCTATATATCTGTGGTTTATTTATGGTTTTTTGTTGGTTTATCTTTGGTTATACGTATATATATATCTGTGGTTTATCTGTGGTTTTTTGTTGGCTTATCTGTGGTTATACTTATATATATACTTGTGGTTTATTTATGGTTTTTTGTTGGTTTATCTGTGTATATATATGTGGTTTATCTGTGGTTTATTGTTGGGTTATCCGTGGTTTTTTGTTGGTTTATCTGTAGTGTATTTTTCCTTTTGATGTCTAAATGTAAAACTCATGTTTTCCTTGAACTGAAGTCAAAAAGTTTATTCACAGTTTATCTTACCTTTCGATGTCGTAAAGTAAACCTCATGTTTTCCTCGAAGTATATAACTTATTATTTTTATGCATAGCTATTGATCTGTTATGTTTCTTTAATGAAGGACACTCCTGGTGTTATTGGAGGTCTTGATATTGGTATACAGGGTAACCAAAATGTGGATGATCTTGTGTCGGTGGTCGACATCCCATTTAAGAAAATCAAACGTGTAAAAAAAAGACAAGTTATTTGTAAGTCATGCCCTTTTGACACTGATTTTTGGGACACGATGCGGTTTGATTTAACTTCGGATCTCGTTGAGTGGTTGAAAGTGGGTAAACTTAAGAATCGGCGTAAGAAAAAGGAAGGGTATGTACTTTCATTTTGTTGTTTTTATTACATTCCGTCATTTGTTCATTCTTCTTATTTTATATTTAATTCATCTTCTGAAAGGTTCGTGTACTATGACAAGAAGAACACAACCTTAAGCCCCCCATTTGATTTTAATGTTGACGTGGTTTCGGATAAGAATTGGTTCTTCACCTTGTATGAATCCAATTGTTTCCTTGATGGTAGTGTAAGTATCATTTTAACTGTGTTTGTCTTCATCCTTTTTCCTTTTTTCGCGTTCTAATTTTTAAATATTTTTTTTTCAGCATATTGATGTTTTGTTCTACTACATCCGAAAGATTGGATTGTATGCTCTTGAACCACCTTCTCAGAAATTTACTACCACTGATAATTTTTTCGACCAGCAGATGAAATCACTATATTCTTTATACATTGTTAACTCATGTGACCCCCGGATTTGTACGATCGATAGTGTCATTGTCGACTACATGTTTGGATTCAAAATTCTGTGCGGGGAGTCATGGCTCGATGTTGATTACGTACTCTTTCCGATTCATGTTGAGTTGGAAGGTGTTGGCCATTGGATATTAGGGAGGTTGTCGTTCGCAACTAGAACGTTGATGATTTATAACTCCTGTCGATCGACTGATTTTGACCAGGTTGTGCTAGAGAGTGTCAAGCGATATTCCATATTGATCCCCATATTTCTTGCTATGGTAAAATTTGTCTCTAGACGTGCTGACATAAAAAAAAACATTGGTCCATACTCGGGAAAGGCAGAGAATGATCCTCTTGATGTCATTTTCGTGGAAGATTTGCCCCAGCAGCTATTCTGGTAAGTTGTATTTTAATATAGTTTATAACTTTAATAGTTCTTTTCTATTTAAATTTAATTACATTCATTTTTTCTGTATTTTTTGTTTTTCATACTTGCCAGTGATTGTGGCGTATTCGTTGCTTCGTTTGCGGAGTATATTGTTTCTAATGAGCCCATCAATGCTGCTACGTTTGACGTTGATATCGAGCGGTCAAGGTTTTCATACCTATTGTACACACATGGAAAAATGAAGCAGGAAAAAGATTCCGAGAGTGATGATGATTCGCCTGGTCCGTTGCCGGCAAATTACCGAAGTTTGCTAGTACTTCCCTATACTAATTAGCATCTGAATTTGATGTTTAACGAGTTTGGTTGACATTGTTGTTCTATCATGTATTTTTTGTCAGACTATGTAGACAAACTAAACTCTGGTGTTTCTCCTTTTGGGCATGGTGTGTTATGGAATATGTTGGACATGTTTTGAATGATTGTATGTTATCAGGTTTATTTCTTGGTGTTTTTATGTATGATATTACATTTTTCTCCAATTCTTATGTTTGTTCAAGGAATACTTGTGGTATTTTTGTATTTTACTTATAGTATATTTTACTGAGTAACTTATTTATGTATTTTACTTGTAGTGTTTTTCATGTCTACCATTGACTATCAGGTACCAATGAACTTGTGTAATTTATGTGTTTATTTATGGAATTTCTAAACTATATTATAATTGTGAAAAAGTTGATGGTTCTAATATGAATAACTGACTTATTTTTAGTAGTTGTTTTAATACACAATATTTTTAGCAAGTTTAATTGTTTTTAATTTATAATGTATCCATTTGGTGTTTACTTTTTGTATTTTCTCAGTTTTCTTTGGATAATCTAAACATTTTCTTAACTATTAAATTACATATAAATTCATTCACAAACTACACTATCATCAAACACATTCTAATCTCTAAATGTTGTTCAAAAATCGATATCACCAATACAACACAATTTCAAGGACTAATAGCAATCTATATAAAAACCAATATATTAACTCATGCACTCAAAAAATATTCTTTGTTGACACTAAAATAGAATCATATATATTTACTCATATTAGACAAAAAAACAAAAAAAATAAAAAAATAAAATAAAAATAAAAACTTGTTATGTCCAGAACATAAAACTCATTGTAAACTGGTAGTCCCCAACATAGCACCAAATTAGATCAACAAAGCATCAACTTTGAAAATAATTGACAAAAAAATCCTGCAACTTCAACAAGTGTCATCAATGGTTATCTACTCTGATCTTCGGAGGATTTGGACAGGTCTTTACATTATGGCCCCTCTCGTCGCATTTTCCGCACTTGTTCTTTTTAAGAGCCTCAAATGGAGACTTGTATCGTTGTTTTCGCCGACGCCCCGATTTCGCTTTGCCTATAGGTGGTTGCACCTGTCTCTGTTTTTTATTGTCCACAGCATCAAATGTTTGCGGACCTTCGATAGGATAAACTACTTCACCATACGTCTCCAAAAAGTTAGTCGTCCTGTAATAATCAGAGCAAAATGGCACTGGATCAATATGTAAAGACCGAATGACGCGTATGGCATGTGGACATGGTAGCTCGTCCATTTGAAACCGATTGCAAGTGCATGTCTTGGCATCCAAATTTCCAACATGTGAATACACGTCGTTATACACCTTATAAACTTGGTCGCTCGCCTTCTGGACCTGTCAACATATACACAAATTCCTTTTCATTCACAAATTCAGTTTCATACAGATTATTTATTCTATTAAATTATTACAATATAAACATAAAATAAACTTACAAACAAACAGGAAGCCACTTTGTAATTTTCTTCAAGGATATTGTTTGCTTTTTTTGTCAGAATAGTAAACATGCACTTTGCCTCATCTCGATTTGCCACGTTCTATTTTTGCTGTATTGATCTCAAAGATTCAAGCAACGTTGTTATAGGTAATTCACGCACCACTTTCGTAGCCGAGTTTATAGTTTCTGCTGCGTTTGACGTCATTGTGAAGAATCTATTTTCTTGGCAGTGGATATGAGCCCATTTGTGGAAACCTACTTTTTCAAGATGTGTTGGTACCCTTGGATCCAACTTCTTCAGTTCCAGCATATACCTGTTGAACTCTTCCTTTGTATATGCTCTAGAGGCTGAAATAAATGCATGCTTAACTTCCGTTGTTGCTATTCTATAGTTATTCCTCAGATTGTTGGCGAGGTGGTAAGTGCACAAGCAATGCGAAGCTTCTGGATATACCTACATTTTATAAAGTACAGAACATAATCATTCAAAAGTCGACACTTATCTTGCAGGTCATCCATAAAAAGAAGAAATATACTGTTGTTTTCATAGTTACCTTTGATACGGCGTATTTGATGCTTTCATGAGCATCTGAGACAATGCATAATCCCTCTCTCTCAGGTAGGGCAGATTTCAACTTGCTGAAAAACCAAGAGTATGACTCATTGTTTTCCGAGTCCACGATGCAGAAAGCAAGTGGGAGTACGTGCGAATTTGCATCTTGCGTACACGCTGTGAGTAAAACTCCTCCATATGTAGACTTTAGAAACGTGCCATCAACAACAATGATAGGCCTACAATGTGGCCAGCCCTTGATCGAAGCATTTAGACACATGAACAGGTACACGAAATGTTTATCTTCAGTAGTACAGAGATTCACAATGCTTCCGGGATTCGAGTGACAGAGCTTTTGGAGGTACTCATGAATGTATTCGTATGATTCATCCGGTTTTCCCTGTACCTTGTCTAGAGCCTTGCGCTTTGATCTCCATGCCTTTTTGTATGATAAATCGATGCCATATGTCAACTTCATATCGTGTATAATTTCTGCAGCGTTGTATTTTGTTGTCACGTTTGTGAATTTCCCCTTTATGCATTCACTAACAAGTGTTGACGTAGCTTGTCATTGGTTGTTTGTTCTGACCTTAAATGGACAGTTGTGATCTTTCACCATTTCCCTGATTTTGAACATACTCGACCGTCCTACTCGAGATGATTTAATGAACCAATTGCACCCATCCCATACACACTTTACGAAGTACTGTTTAGGACACGATTTTTGTACCTTGAATTGGAACTGGTGCTTGATTGCATATAACGCAAGCATTTTCTGCAGACTAGTTTTGCTGGAAAATGAATGTCCAATTGCTGGATTGTGCATCACTTCGACCACATTACCTGATGTCGTATCAACAGCTCCATATGTGGTCTGTTGTTGTTCAACACTTGATGCAGCTAACGACATGGCTTCGGCAGCTTCTCTTGCAAAATCCATAAAATTCATATACTTTGAACCTTCATAGTCAAATTGATCAAAGTCCAAAGCAGCAACAATGCCCTCATTCCCTGCAACTTCGCTGTGATCGGCATTGATGAGGAGTGGAACTGGAATCGAAGTATTTTTTTGTTCCTTAATCACACATACTGGAAACTTAGTGTAATCAACCTCCCTCGACTTCAAATCCATGTAGAATCCAAGGCTTTGATCATCATCAATTTTAATGGCTGGATATCCATCTCGTACTTGATACTTAAAACTCCACCTTGATTCCATGTGGTTTATCTTCAGTAAATCTGCAACTTGCTTGGTGAAATCACCGAAACAACAACTCTAATTCATAGATATTCCCCCAACTTCAAAATCAATGTAAGTGTTGTTACACCACTCTCCATTGTAGTGCAAAAACACCATAATTTTCGACATATTGCTGCAGATTGCCACAAAAATATCTCAATAAATACTACAAAAAATGGATTGGTTAAAAAAAAAAAAATACACCCAAGCCGCCATTGTTGAAAATTAAGCTTCGGTTCAATGAAAATAACATTGGCTACTTCAAATTAGACGGAAAATATTCGAAATATACCTTCAATCTCCCAGATCGAAAGTGTTCGCGAGCTCGAGATTCAGAAAATTCCCCCTCGACACGATTTCCACATTTCCATACTCGAAAGGTGAGTTTTTCTGTTTTTGATTGTTCCAACAATTTCCTTCTGTCTCTTCTCGCTTATGTTATCCATAGTCTCGTCTCCGCATGGCGATTTCGTTCCTCCAGTGACCAATGGTGAGTTTCTCGCGAGATGATTTTGGGGTAGATTGAGTTGATTTCCACAGATTTTCTTCCTTCTGTTGTAGCTTCGTAATTTTGGGTAATTAAGTTTTATGTAGAAACAAATCTGCATTTAACTTTAAAATCTCGTTAATTGGCACATGCTGCTTGATTTACACGTGTATGTGTATTTTCGCCAATAATTAACTCAAATTGAGGCGGAATAATACTAGCAATAATGATCCGAGAATTATAAACAAAATTGGGAGGGGTCCATGATTTTAAGTGGACTACAAATACAAGAATTTGGGCCTTAATAGAATACTAGAAACTCGGGTCAAAATGGTTCGAAAATGAGTTAACACGGATAACAATGCGATTTACACGATTAAATCTAAAATCGTCGAAATAATTAATCTAATAATTAAAATAAATCCTAAAATTCTAACACATAAATAATAAATTAAAACACATAATATTCACATAAATAAAGTCACATAGCAGCTCAATAGATAGGCAGATAGAGACGAGCAGTTAATAAAATAAACGGGCAAATAAATAAAGCAAAGATAAATAATCAATTATGAGCAAATAAAATAATCATATAAAATCCGAAAAATTATAATAAACGAACGAGGCGCAACACCTATTCTTTAGGTGCTCATCTTACCAATGCGTAAGGCGGAGTGACGGACGGGCGGGAACTAGGCTCTGATACCACTATTAGGTATCCGCCCGTCGAAACCCCATTTGAAGCGGTGTCAATCTTCGGAGTTAACACGCAACCCGGACCAATTTATAGCCAACGAAGTAGGCCCGAACATCATTCTTTAGGTCCCGAACAACAGGGAATAAGAGTCCAAGACAACAGTTAAGCAACAATAGCAACCCCAGACAGTAATTTAAGGTCACGAACAGCTGCTAAACGAGTCCAAACAGCAAGAAATACGCCTGAACAAACGATCACAGACAACAAAAGAGCAAAGAACGAGTATTCTTGCGGCAAAAGAAAATAAACCAAAAATATAAATACAAAAGGAAACGAATGAGATCACCGTAATCGTGGTCGAAGCTTGTTGAGGGAATTTGAGGCTCAGGCCATATATAATTATATATCTGAGAATCACAAAGAATCTAGTTTCAGACCATGACCATACGATCCACCGGCACCCCAAATCCCCAATAGCACAAACCAATGTTCGAGACACTGACGAAGGGGTCCAAGGGGATACACAAAACACTCTCAGATTTTATATCAATCACTATACTCCCTTTTTCTTTCTCAAATAAGTGCCTACCCACTACCCACTAACAGGACACATGCACAACCCTCATATAACTATAACACCTTACACACAGTAAATACGCACACAACACTCTGCACAGGACATTATTTTTGCTATTGAGTCACTTTATGTTTTAAGGCACTCACACACACACACAAAGCACACACAACACTATTGTTTTAATTCTCCACACACACCAGAGCATGACTTTTGAGTTTTTAAACNCGAAGGGTTTTAAGAAGGAACACGGTAACGGTAGAAACAGGGATTGATTCTGCTGCCAAAAAAAAGTACAATGGGCCTCTAATTGCTATTAAGGAGATGGGATGGACCGGGCCCGTGAAGAAATTTGTCTTGGGTCATCCACAAATTTCAATTGGGCCACAAAAAATAACACAAACATTTTTACTAGGCGTGGAGTTTCCTTCACACCTCCAATTTAGGAGCACCGACTACGCAACCCTGTTTTGTTCCAAGTCTTCTTGAATCAATTAATCAATTGTGAATCCATAAGTGCAAACAATAAATAAAACACCTTGAAGTATCAATCATAACACCAAAATTGAGCACCACATGTATCATTACAGAGTTCTCATAAAATGAACCATGGAATGACGCCATTAAAACCAACACAATTGCAAAATTGATAGTTCATCAAAAGAGGAAAATGAAAAACTTATACATGTAACGGTTCCGGGAAAGACTGGACGGGATTGATTTCCAACCTCTAATCCGTGTTGGAAGTCTAAACCAGTTGACTGCTATTCAAATTTGAGTATGGGATAGTATACATATGTAAAATCATTGTTTTCCAAACCCAAAAGCTTCCTTCTTTCTTCTTCGCTTGTCAATTCTTTCAGGACTTGGCAATCCAGTTGTCTCCTCATATTTCTTTTCCAAGGCCCGTTGAGGAGGAATATTTGAGAAATCTACTTAAGATTTTGTGTATTTAAGATAGCTAATTTGACTATTTCCAAATGTGCCAAATGTACTGATCACTTGCTCTAACTCTGCACGAACAGTTTCGAGGACTTCATCACTCATTCGGTCAAAAAACAAAATTCCCTGCAATATTAACTAGGCGAATAAGAATGATGAAAGCATTTGAGTTGAACCTCCGATCAGAACAAACTTTGCTTAATATATTATGAGATATTGAGACAATGCTTTGGATTACCCTAATATATAAACAAATAAACAAACAATCAAAGTCATATTCTTAAGTAGAAACACCTCATTTTAAAGTGTTAGAAACACAACATAGGTTGTTTATTTACCTAACAAATACACACTAGCCCATACAATGATGTAATTTGTAAGAAGATGAACAAATATCAACAACATAATATAAGATGGAAACATTTTTCAATTAGACTTAACTAAAGGGGAGCTATTGTAGAAAACCATAAAACATTTTAATCTAGATATCATTCAGAACTACCATTTAAAACCTAATTGGCAAATGCAGCCCTATAATTTTGAACATTATGAATCATAACACATTAAATGTGAAGTTGATGCCATTACTTTAGTAGCCTTCTCAAGATTAATAAATAGTAATCTACAATATGTTAACGTTGTAAACCCAATATGTTAGCCAATGGTATTATAAGCTTTCGCTTTTTGTTAACGAAAAAAGTTCTAATCCGAATGATAACCTGCAGATTATCATATTCGTGTTAAAACACCCGTGCATGAAGCCCGGTCAAGTTAACTTCAAACCTTCCACCAGTTATATCCTGTGCACCCACTTGCAATGCATCTGGTCTCTACAGAGTAGAGAAAAGGAAACAATTGTTAATCAGTAATGAAGATCAACCTCAAGCTGGACAAGGCTTCCTAAATGTCTTAGTTAAACTTAAATTTCGTACGTATTAAATTGGAGGAAATGTATTTCTCTCATAACAAATAGTACAAGTTTTGCTGGACACACACAAACATACACACACACACACACACACACACACACACACATATATATATATATATATACAACATTCAAACCAAGCAGTAAATTTATGAATATTAGAAGCAAATTAATTTTATGAAGCACTTCAACATCAGCGTAAATTCCAAGGAAAGATAAACAGCCCTCGTTAAAAGGCACAATCTTTCTTGAAAATCTCTTGATTTGTGGATTTACAAGAACAATCTCTTCTCCTTCACCATGTTCACCGACTGGATTGAAGACCATTAGCTCGACATTAATTCCAATTTGGGGTGCCGAGAGCCAAACGCCATCCATTCTGTGCAAAAGGAAGCCAACAAGTATTTGCTCACATTCCTGTAGTTAAAAAGAATTTGCAATAAGGAACAGAAAAAGTGGAAAACAAAAAGAACCAGGTTTGCTAGTTTTCGCAATTCAAGGCTATGACTGGACGAGTTTGATAAAAAGCAATTTAAAATTGAGGCAGTTACAAATAACTTTGGGGAGAATGTTCTTGCAAAAGTCAAACAAAAAAAAAAAAAAACAACATAACAGCAGATGTGGAGGTAAATCTATATCTCGGCCTCTCCAATGATGTTGCAGAACTCTTTTTCCACCCTTTCTCACACAATTATGATGCGCAAACTATAGTTCTATAGATAAATGTAACTGCGGCAACTTAAAATATATTCCGAGCATCCACCAAATAGGCTAATATGATGCTCAGCAAAAACAAAATTTGAGCCCTTAGTGCTGAATGATCACAAGATGCAGGGTTTCAGAAACTTAATAACTTACAAGTTACAAGCCAAAATTGAGTTCAAGCCTCTAGAGACACATGATCTCAAACACGAAAATGTACACTACCCTATTTCTGATAGAAAAGGCAGAGAATCAATCACATGTACATTAATATAAACATCTCCGCCACAAGGTTTTTCAAGCTCTCATCAAACATGTTAACTCGTTTGTTCCTTGGTCTCAATATAGGGTCAGGATACTCCACTATTTTTAATTCCGACTTGAATAGCAAATCAGCAGCTACATATCATCACAAAACCACAAAACCGAGCAAAGAAAAGAGCATCCATGAGTCTCTATTTTACGATTTCCCATATAGTTTAGCTGTTATTGAAAGCAAAATAATGAGACTTGAACATGAGACTTCACTTGCGAGATGCTACTGCTGCTTCTTTCGCCTTTGAAGAGAAACTTCGTCGAGGCTACGCAAAATCGGCTGAACCGGACGTTCACGGTGATTGGGGGGTAAGGTATTGAGGCTCGTGGAGGTGAGGAGACGGCGGAATTGACATGAGTGTTGAAGCAATGTTTGCCGGCGGAGGAATGAGCGGAGAGGATGAGCCACCGCGTTCGAGTGGACGCAAGCCATCGACCCAAAGATTTTACTCTGCAACAAATGAGAGGGCCAGTCAGTTCATCCTCAGACGGGTGCAACCCCCTTTTACACGGAGTGGGTAACCTTTGGTTTGTACCTGTAATTGAAGGCCCGCGTGATAATAGGCTAGCCAATGGGCTAGCTCGAAGGTGAAGATTTTACTTTTTTTGCGGGATAAATTNTGAATCAAAATTCCATTAATCTAGACTACTACTCAAAATTAATCTGTTAAATTAAATAAATATTTTTCTTCGAAACGATTGAAGATAATAAATATTAAATAATATGTTTTATACTACATTTAAAAATAAAAAACAAGTAGTTATGTAATGGTAGTTATAAATTCAAATTTACAAAAATAAATAAATAAAACATTAATAAAAAACTGATACTTGTTGACAAAAAAAGAAAGAAAAATAAGATATACATAAAAAGAATTAAAGAATACAAAGATGTATCTCCGTTCCATGATTGAGAACTGATAACACAAATAAAAACATTGATCTACATGGAGGAATATAAAAAGGTACATATAATTTAAAATTTAACAATAGATTATTGATCAATATCTTAAATAACATAGTATAATTTTATTTTATGATTTGCTGGATCATGAACAATAATCTCCTTTTGGTTCATTACAATGAGCATTGGATCAGTGAAGTAACAATAATATAACATCTATCAAACAAAATGATAACAACCTTTAATAAACAATAAAATATTAAGAAATTAAATTTTATAACAAATATAGAAGATAGTGAATGACACAACAACAAAACATCATTATAACAATCGAATAAACTAAAATTTCCCATCTTCTTTTTGCACTCTCTCTCTCTCTCCCTCCCCCTCTCTCTCTCTTTTCCCCCAAACCTTCCGTAGAAAACCCTCACTTTATTTCTTATCCGTGAGCCTCTTCTCCGACCGGGGCTTTGTCCCCCACGGCCCCTTGCGGCACCTAGGCTGTTGTGGGTTGTCTGGAGAGGAATCAGTTCCTCCTGTGATGGCATTTCCCATACCTGGAGCTCGGGCGGCCAAATAGCGTTGGGGTGTCCGACAATCTTCCAACGTGCCTGAGGTGGCTGGCTCCAATTTCTCGTCGGTCGGCAGTTGAGCTGAGGTTCGGCGACTTTTTCTTTCTCGTCCTGCCCTCCCTTGGTGTTTGGTTGGTGTGGACCTCCGGCGGTAGCGGCTCTTGTCCAGGTCAGTTTCGAGCTGAGGTCGACAGATTGTGCTGGGGAAGGAGTAGACGAAGGCCTGCAGGTGTTTTTTCAGTGGTATTTGGTTGACCTTTAGCCGGGGTCTGGTTAGCCGTCAATTTTTTGCAGGGAGTTTATGAATCTGGATCTTCGGCCACACTTTCTGCATGTTGGGTGGGCGTTGTCGATAGTTTGGGGTCGTGGTGTTTTGTCGGGGCTGACAGTTTTGAGAGGTAGGCTCTATTCTAGTATTTCTAGGTGTAGCGCCCCATTTGCCCCGGAATAATACAATATTATTATTTGGCATTTATTTTATTTTTTTAAATTAATTATTCGGGTTCGATAATTTTATTTCGATTATATGCTCGTAATTGCTGAATTATATTAATTTTAATGTCGAGCCGAATAGTATTACTTATTTTATTTTTGGTTGAACCGAAAATTCTAAATAATCGAGACTTTGAACCGAGCGATTATGCGTGTGTATTTATCGAACCGGGCCGCCCGAACCCGTCCATTTTCCTCTCCAACCGAACCGGCCCGCGTGAGAAAACCGGCCCAAAAACCGCCGCTCAACTTTCGTGCATGCATGAGATAATCTTTTGCTTTATTTTTGAAATTCAAATGTTATCCTATTATTCATTTCATCCTTGACCAATTTATGAGAATTTAACTCATGAGTTTTTAATTTTGTAACTTACCAAATGAATAAGATATGTAACTCATGAGAATTGTAACCCCCTCTCCTTATTACCTCCTCACGCATACCACCCCCTCATTTTCAATCTCTCGGTCCCGTTCTCTACCTCTCACTCTCTCTTGTTCCTTTTTCATTTCCTTATTCTCGTCGGAAAATTCCGCCGCCCTAGTCCCTCGGCCTTCCATTTTCCGGCGAGCTCTCCAACCAGCGGCCGCCTCGAGCACCCCAGCGAACCCCGACGAGAATGACACCACGAGCAGGCCATTTCCGGTGAGCCCGTCTCAGCAGCCCGACCTCCGTTCGAGCATCTCCTTTGCTTCCCATCGTCCGGCGAGCTGCTGCTGGCGTGAAGCTAACGTGCGGCTACTTTCGGTCCCTTTTCGTTACTCCGAGTCCCATTCGCGAGCCGACTTCCGACCCGTCGTCCGGCCCGTTTTTCCTCCGTTAGCTCGTGAACTTTCAAAAGCGGGTAACTTATTCAAACCCTCTCATTATTCTGGTCATGTTCATATATCACATGGTAGCTATATATCATGCGTATTACCGATTATTTGTTTGAAGTCGGATTTTGGTTAGAATTGTTATCGGCTCGTATATGTCGTTTCGTTTATCGGGTTATGCTCATGTTGTTGCTGTGTTGAACCTCAATGTTCTCGTTTTATTTTCTGTCGAGAAAGTGTATTTCGTTGTCGAGTTTCGAACCATCCGTTTTGTATTCATTGGTATTTTATGTGAAAATACGTTTTTTGCCGATCTGTTGTGCCTCGTTTTAAGCTATCGGAAACTGGTTATTTGAAAATGTGGTCTTCATATGAAATGTTGTATGATCAGTTTTCTAAATCTGGGCTTTAGAATTTCTCAATTCCGAGTTATATCGAAAAAGTTATGATTTTTACAAAATTTGTGCGCGTCCAGTTTTCCTGTTACCCGGCAGCTTATATGATTTTAAGGTATGACCTGTTTTTCATGCCATAAGGTACTCGTATGAACTTACACTCTTCATAAAAATTGTATATTTGTTTCTTACCTTTCAAATGAGATAAATTTCATGTTGATGTGTGCTCTGTAACTTGAATGGTGTTCACATGAAGTTAGATATGCATGAGTTAAGGTTTATCACTTTGACAGAAATCTGATAATGAATGTTAACTGATTTTTCCCTATCCAAATGATCTCATATGATTCTGTGTTCTAAATAAAAGTTGTAGAAGCATACTTAAGGTTTAATTTGATACTTGAACCATATCATTTGGAGGTCTGTAGATCTAGATAATTGATTAAGAGTGAAGGGCTGTCCATATCATATATTAAATTTTGACAGTTTTGCTGAACCAAGTATTTTGTGTTTAAACTCATTGAATATGTGATTATTTGCCAATGTTATCTTCAGTCAAGTTGTAGACATTTGCGTTGCCTATCATGTGGTTTATGAATTTTATCAAAAGCATGCCTGTAGCTCCAGTTATACAGTAAATACTGCAGTCTGGTTTCCAGATTTGGACTGTGACCCAAATTTTAATGTTTGTTGATTTATCACCTATTAGATGACCTTATTTTCTTTTGGTGTCTTCATAAGAATTGTAGAAACATGTCCTAGGATTCCAATCAAACTTAATTCATGTTCATACGAGTTGTATACTGATAGGTATGTTGATTTTAAAAACGCTGCCCGGGTCAAGTTTTCAAAACTTATGTGATATTTTCGAAAATGTGTTTTCCTTTGTTTATTTCGTGCTTAAATGATTGCGTGAACTTAGTTAGACTTAGTGATTTTATAATAATCCTTGATAAGACTATTTTAATAAATGTAGGTGTTGACGAGTCTACCTCGCCGCCTACCCTCATTTATTGTTAAACTCCAACCTCTACCAGATGGGTTCATTTATGTTGAATTTACATTTATCGCACTCGTTATCTCGTATAAATGTTTGTCGCAATAGCTTTTGTATGCGTGAGAACCCTAGTCTAAGTGTCCCGACGGTAGTGCCTTTGACGAATGCATAATCAGTGGAAGTCATTTGCCCGTTGTATCCGGGAGGTGGGCGCCCGAATCCGTGTAGAGCGGAGGGGATTGTCTGAACGCCCGAATCCGTGTAGTGCGGAGGGGTAATTCAACTTCACTGTCTCCTGGATAATATCCTACGCCCGTTGCATCCGGGGTGGGAGTGCTTCCAGTTACATCCTTGCCGATGTCTGATCGGAAGGTTTGTTGTATGTACATATGAGGTTTGCGATAGGGCCTAATTGGGAGTTAGATCTAGATTCTATGCATACATTATTTATAGTTATGGATCTTTATGCAAAATATACTGTGCGGTAATGGTGAGTATGATGGTTGTACTCACCCCCATTTACTTTTCTGTCCTCTTGTTCCTCTTCATATCCTTTTAGGTTGAGCATGGTTGACGGCGGCAGCGAGAGACGATCGAGTGGTGGTCGTCGGATTGTGTGTTACTTGCTTCCGCTTTTATTATCTCGATAGACCATTTGTTTAAGTTTGAATAATTATGCTTCCGCTTTAAATTATTTTGAACATGTTGGTTAGACCATGGATTTTTCGTTTAAGTATTTAATTATGGACGATTGGATTTGAGGTTTTTGAATAATTGGGATTTTATTTTGATCTGTTAAATTTTATCTACGTAAATGTTTATTTGTTTTAGTTGTTTAAGCAGCGGCCGTTGAATATTAAAGTGTTAAAATGGGATTTTGCGAAAAATAAACTCTGATTTTTATAAATGAATTCGGTAAATCCTTTAAAATAAAACGGGGCGTTACAAATACACTCTTCGAAGTTTGATTAAAAAGAATGAAATGGGAAAAGACCAACAAGACTGATTTTAATGGGCCTCTTCTTTTTCTCGTTGTAAGAATGTATTATTATATTATTCTTAAACAATTTATATTCCATTTTCTTATATATATATATATATATATATATATATAATTTTTTTTTCCAAAATGCAGGTTTTATACGTTGATCGGCTTGCTTTTGTAAATCGTGAGGTTCCAAGGAGTCTGCCCTCCTTTGTTGGTTGGAACTGTGACCTATTGCGCAAGAGATCCAATGCTGAGGCCAAAATTGGTGGTTTTGGCCGAGGTTTTTTTGATGAACGTTTGGAACAAATGCCATTACAGTCATTAAAATCAAAACAAAAGAAAATGTCTGATGATTTTGTTCAGGTTGGTATTTTTTTTATTGTCTGTAGTGCAATGATTTTAGGTCTATCTTGTTGTTGAGTTAGTT